ATCACCTGATCCCACCTCTGCAATGTTGGGTCCGTGATTTATGCCCCTTTTCATAGAATTGTATTGTTTGTGAACTTTTTGTCTTAATTCGATTATTATTGTTCTTTATGTTTTTCTTTCTCATTGTTGAATTTACTTAAGGAAGGAAATACATTAGTATTCATTATTCAAGGGTTCCTGTTGGAACATTAAACAGGATGTTCAAATCTATCTTCCTTATATACTGTACAGAGTTCACTTTAAATAACAGAAAGAAAAAAAAACTAAAAAACCAAAGTGCTACGTTCTTGCAAGAAATATATAAAATTAATCGACTTTCTGAAATCTGTTTGTAATTGACAGGGGATGCTTTCTTTTTCTGAGCACCTGATCCCACCTCTGTAATTTTCCGGGTTCGTGTTTTACGCCCCTTTCATGGAATTGTATTGTTTGAGGACGTTGTGTCTTAATTCGGTTATTATTGTTTTTTATTTTTTCTTTCTCATTGTTCAATTTACTTAAGGAAATAAATACATTAGTATTTTTTTCAAGAGTTTCTGTTGTTACATTACACTGAATGTTCAAATCTGTGTTCCTATATACTGTACCGAGTTAAGTTTTAATAAGAGAAAGAAACACAAAACTAAAACCCAAAAATGCTTTAACATTTAAACTATTTTTTAAAGGGGGCATATCAAGTATATAATGATATCACAAGATATACTCTTTCTATATTTGTACTCTTTAGATAAGTTGTCAATGCTTAATTTTGAGATTAAACCTTCAGCTTCCGTCAGGAAATAAATACAGATTAAATATAACTTCATCGGCTAAAAAAAAAAGAACTAATGAGAGAGTGCAAAGTTTGCTTCATAACATATTGTGCAGCATTCCATGAAAATTTTTCCAAAAGAGAATGAAAAACATAAAAATGCTTGAAAACATAAAAATAATTTTTGTCACAGTTTCCTCAGCAACTGCTCTTTACAGATGCTTGAAATTTAAGCATATACATTGTTTAGGTATGCCATATGGTTGAATTGATTTTTATTTGAATCTGATGACAACTTCCTATTTATCTTTGCATCTGCCCGTACACTGAACTTGGTGTGTACATTAACATGACAATTAATATATATTCACATCAGAGCGGGGTATTACTAGTTAGCATTGGCTTGTTTTTTTTCTGTTGCATGGTGACAATTTCGAGGAGATATTTTTCCTTCTATTAAAAGGATTACAGCGGCTATTGATTATAAGTAGGAACTATATATAGAGCTACATTTCTGAAGAGATTACGTCACAGTATTAGACCAAATGGAATACTACCAGTAGGTCATCAAGGAACTTTTAACGATAGAAAAGGGATGCACATATAAACCACGACGAATATACAAATGACACTAAAACTATTCGCAGTATTGTTTTTTAATTACGGATAATGTTTTACGATCATGGTTCATAAATGGTTCTCTAGGCTATATTACAATATCACATTACCTCGTTGATCACGTGACGGTCATATCTACTTGAGTAAAGTACAGAAATCGCTTCGGCGCAGCCGATTTACATTAAACCATTATTGGCCTTTTGCCACGTAAATAACCGATAGATTATAGTTTACAACCGATAAACCTAGTTTATCGACTGTGAAACTATGTTTAGCTCATTTTTGTGAATTTGGCATGCCATATATATTCATACCAAATATCAAAAGGGGTGGAAGTTGAAAATATAGCATTGTTTAACTTGACTTTATGCTTCAATATGTTTCGTTATTCCCATATTTTATTAAAGTCATTACGTTTTAAATGACAACTGTAAAGTTTAGTTGTCATGCAATGTCTCATTCTAGAAAAAAACTCCAACCATGGGGAATTTATCAGAAGAATCTAGAGATGGACAAGACCGCTTTTAATATTTAAAAAGGTCGTCTTTATATGTTAAGGTATGTCACTCGTTAAATTTGTTAAATCAAGGATTTTTTGAGAATGATATTTTAAATACGTACTCATATAGAGTGATTACAATTTGCAAAAATATAAATTAAGACCTATATTAAATATTCCTGCAATATCTTAACGGAAAATATTCTCCGAGTAAAAGTATGTGAGGCTAAAGTTTCAAGACATTAAATTTAATAATTGTGCAGATTTGCAGAAATTTCTGCTGAATATCCTTCCACAACAAGAAATAGTCCCTCATAAATCTTGCTTCTTTGTAGATTTCGATGAATGTTAAAAAAATTACATTGTTGAATAAAAATATATTTCATAAAAATTGAATTTTAATAAATATTTTTTAAGCAAGAGGTTCTGCGTGAACTTTTCTAAAAAGCTGACGAGTGACTTACCTTAACAGTAAATAAAAAATAATTAATTCCTCCGCGCTTGCGCGAGATTTCATCTAGTTATTATATTTTTTTTCAAAACGAGTCCTTCATAGTTGAATGACAGACCTCACAAGGTAACCTTTTTGTGTCTTTGGATCAACCCAAATGAAAACAAGGGAAATGGCACGTATTCACATTGCACACGTTACTTTAAATGGCGTCTTGTTTCAACTATTTTGAGCCAATCGTTGGCCTAAATACCTATATTCTCCACTGTTTTATTAATATTTGATGCAGATATTATACATGTATATTACATTATAAAGAAAGACTGAAAGATACCATTATCTCCTGAACGCATGTCGGTATTCAGGTTTCATCTTGTACATCCTATCAAAATTTGCATAATAGTTTACTGGACCATTAACTTCAACCAGTTTAACAAAAGATGTATATTTACTTAAAAAGTCTCAAATTCGCTGAATCTTTCCAATATTAGATTATTTTTGTGCTTTTGGCCAATTTTGCTGAGCAATTATTCATTATAAATGCAGTTTAAAAATAGGAAGTATATTAAGTTCTTAAAATATGCAGTCTCAAGTTCACATGCGGATTTTTACGTTTGTTTCAAAGATATCAGTACTATAGGAATTTATTTTAAATGACATAAAATAATTGAAATAAAAGCACATCATATAAATTGAACACATAAGAACAATAGTAACTTCTTTGAAGCCCTTTGGCAATGAAAAGATATTTTAGTAGTACAAAAATAAATCTTTAAATCTCCGGACTTATGATTTCATTAAAAAAAATGTGTTTATGAATATAAAAATAAAGACATTGATGAATGTTTGAGAAATATGAAAAAGTTGGTGGCAATATATATAGCAAATACAATCATTTATCTGATGGTTATTTTTATAATTGTGCAAAAAGTAGATGAAAGACGTTTAAACTGCCGGCATCCGTCTTTTCCATGCACTTTTCCAGATATTTGACAGACACACTGTTGAGTGAAACCGGAAGAAAATGGTCAATGGGACAGATAAATGATTAAAAATTGTCCAGGCCACAAATCCGTAAAATTCTAGTTGCACTGGGTTTGCCCGAGACCTCTGAATTTCAAACGTATTGAGGCCCCACAATGCAATGTTACTGACTAACAAGAATGTGACATATTCCCGCCCAGGCTTTTGTCTCTCTTGTTCACGTCGCCATGACGACTTTCGCATTCCACTTAAAAGGAAGACTGTTTGCAATGAGGCTTGAAACAGTCTAAAAACACTGGATAATATGACTAAGTAATCCGAGGGTCCCTTTTTCATGGAGGCGGCAATAATACTGAAAAAAGTAAACACATACAGACCCCCTAGACCCAGCAGAAGCAACGACTCCTCCAGATCCAATTCCCGCTCAGAATTCACTCGTAACGTCTGCATTCTGTGGAATGCCAGCACGACGGCAATTGACGTCACCACGTAAATAACCACAGCGGATAAATGTTCCAGTTTGACGGCCGTATTGAGATAACTGTGCGACCTAATGAGTACAAAGAATGTTATCATGGTAATGACTGTTCCAACGAGGATAAAAATTCCCAAAAAGAGTCCACGACTAGAGCGGGAACAGTCGACCGTCATCCGGTGAGATTTAGCTTTACTTTCCTCGTCACCTGTTATCTCCTCAGGTGCCCGCCCATTATTCCCGATATTCCTCCACATAACGTACAAAATTCCTATTGAAATGAAAGAAAAAATGTAGGTAAAAATGGAGTTCCCAGCAATCATTTGAATTTGATTACATGCATGTTCTGATCAGGTTAAAACAAAATTCACTTTAAAAGCTCTAAAAGTGAATACTCTTTTTAAATCTTTGTCGTATTAGTTTAATTAACAACAGATGAATTTTCATTGCAAAGTAAATTAACCTACTGTAAATACTTCATATGCTAAATTAATGTAGCCGATTTTCTGTAAAGTTGCCAATTACTTACTAGCTACAGTGAATTTAAATTATGGAATAATTTGAAATACCTGCACAGATGAGACTATATTCAATGGTACATGGATACAAGTAAGAACTAGATGTCTCCACAACGTCTGACATCAAAGAATTCCTAGTACAACCTAAGCGATATCTTGTCTGATTTTGGACATCCGAGTCTGGAAAGATACGGCGTTTATAAACAAAAGACTTTTCACTGTAAGCTAAATTATCTAGTCAACTGTTAAATTTAATGATTTTTATTCAAAAATTTCCTCTTTTTAAAGTAGTAAAAAATAACCAACTACTGAGTATATATATATAAAGTATATACATCTAATATCAGTCGCATTACACTTCCTAAAATGCTTTAAATTTATTGCTCCATTTCGTTACCTGTTGTCTCATTGGTGCCTACATCTGTTTCATAAAGAGGCCTGATTTCACGCAAGGTCTCCTGGACAATGTTTTGGACCCAAACACAAAGGTTTGTAGCCACCATGTGCATCAACCCAAACCTCGCCACTGTTTTATATCGATGTATGCACATCTGAAAACATAAAATCCATTTAATTCACTCAAACAAAATAGCGAATATGAGCAACGTGAACCTCTTCCATAGTGATAGGTTTTCTTAAATCTTTTTTGATATATTTGACATTGATTATACAATTTGAATTGGCCTAAAAAATATACACTCATAACATGGAACGTTCATATATTATATTGCCTACAGAGCATAATTGGCAGGTGTGTATTTTGTACAGTTATGCTTCCAAATAAATGATATCTTTAATGGATGTGCTACACGATTTTCTTTAATTCTACAGAGAAATATCGGCAGAAGTTGAAAACAGTTTTGTTCAATATTGTTTTATTTGAATAGCAGTTGAATAGATAAGTTCCTATATACCATTACTTCATCAAATACTGCAATATTTCAAAACATATCGAAAATCACAACATATGTTTAGCTGGTGTTTGCATGCCCTTCTGTTCCCACCGACAGTAACGAAGAGCATGTGTAAATGTTAATGTCTTAAAATGTTCTTTGAAGTTTCTCACTGCAGACTGGCTACGGGTGACTGTTTAATCGCAATATGGTTCACCTTACTGTCAGGGGATGCACCTTTGCAGCGTTAACAGAAATACCAAGGTATCGGGTCATCGAGGTATAATTTACAGAATATCTAAACAATTCCTTGCAAAAGATAAGTTTATCTTTAAACAATATATCATATTTGACTTGTATACAGCGTCTGGACGATAGTTTACATCCAAGGGACCTACTATCAACACTTTCCATCCTACCTAATCTTCACGGAAACATTTTTATTTTAAGAACGGGTGATAGTCTGCAGTTTGTATACTTTTATTTCCAAAATTCATTTATATAAGAAGGGTACTAAGAATATATCAATATACATAAATTAGGTTCCTTACACTTTTTATATGTGTGAAATCATGTATATGTATGTTTTTAAGGGTGTAAGAAGTTGCAGAAAATTTTCATTTTATATATAAAACATTTTTTTCTGACATTTAAAATGTATTATTATGTCAAAAATAAATAAATTAATGAGGATCTACCCTGCTTTAGAGAAGAAATTCACACAATGCACTTACTAGATAATTATATGATTTTTCTGAATGTATAAAAATAAAAAAAATAAAAAATAATAAACACGCAAGCGAGAAATCATAACCTAATTTGAGTATATTATAGTACACTGTAAAAAAAAATCAAAATAAAACAAAATCTCACCTTGGAATTTAAGAAAACAAAATAAAGCTGAACAAATGTGAATATGAGATGTAAAATAGGCCGGGCTCCTTCAGCGATGTTTTTACAGGGGTGAGTAGGGGGGTCGGGGTGTGTGTCAAATAACTCCCCAAAATGTAGCCCACTCTGTATCATACTTCCAATTCCAAAACCTGGAAATAAAATTGGAATTATCTTTAAAAAGGTGTAATAAAATATTTTTTATATCTTATTTAATTCATTTTTAACAAATATATAAGATAATCTTCATTTTTCTACATCATATTTAAAATTTTAAAAGATTTCTATTAGTAAAAATTTCGCTATAAGGAATTTTTTTTTCCATACAGACTAGCACATCAATACACTTAGTCCCTGCTGATTAGATTCTGGTCAGGGAAAATATCACAAGTAAAGAAAAGTTTTTTGGTATTTTGGTATTTGCGCTGCTAAAAGGGGGAGGGGGGTATTATAACTGCTGTTCATAAAGTATAACTGTAAATTGTCTATCTATATGTAGTTCCAATAAAATTTTATAAAAAGTATGTATAAAGTCTTCAGTTGGGTTGCTTCGCAAAATTCATTTGTCAATTACAACTGGTTATTTTAGTACTTATCTCAAATCTAAACCAAGATTTGATGTACGTTAATTATTTACTTCAAATCTTAAAAGCAATTAACTAGAATATAATTTTTATGTGTACATCTATACGTTCTTTAACACACACACGGAGAAACTATTTTTTTAGATTGATATTAGGCATTTGAAATTTTTTTTTTTAATTTTTTAGGCGGGGGGGGGATGCAAAAATACTTGACCGTTATTTAAATATTCTTGGAAACAGACATTTCTGTCAAATTCAATTTGAGGTTTTTTTTAAAAATTTTACCCACCAAAAAAATGTGCATTTTGAGGAACGTTACTGTTTTATAATTATTTGTTACAAAAAGTTTTCGAATTTTAGTATCCCTGCCGACAGTCTAGCTATGTTTTTTTTATATAAATATAATATATATTTCTGTAGGAGTACTTGGGAAAAAATTTTAAAGGCTAGGGTAGTGATACTTGAAACCTGGTTGAATACAGATAATTTTCATCTACTCTTTTATATTGCACACACTATCTCTCTCTCTCTCTCTCTCTCTCTCTCTCTCTGTAACCATCCGTTAGGGCAATTATGGTTAAAAACCTACGACTTTGTGTTGTACCATTTACTAAGCATTAACTAGATCAGGGATTATTTTCAGGCGGGATGTGGAAACTTCATAACTAGATGCTGTCATGAGACAGTAATACCCGCACTAAGGTGTTTGCCTCTAAATAATCCCCCAAAATTAAAAAATACCAAAGAAAAAGTCAATATAATTTAATAATTTACATAATAGGGCCTCCATGTATTCATCAAATTTAGCATAATATTCTCAAGTGAACATGTGACCCGTCACCAGGGGCCTCATCTTATAGGTACATGTATTTCATATTCAAAATTTTATTACCAGTCTGAAATTAAAAAACAGAATTCAATTAATGATGTAAATTAGGTTTGAAACGGGGGGGAGGAAAATTTTTTGGGCCCCAAAATTTAAATTTTTTAAAACCTTTTTTTATATAGATCAACAACAAATATTATTCAAATTAGTTTAAAGCGTTTTTGATAAATTTTTTTCCAAAATGTACAAACTTTTTTATACTTGATTAGGCAGAAACACCTTAAAACCCGCCATATACCATTTATACCCAATCAATTTAGTCAACCCCTACCCTTCTCCCATCCAAACACACACACGCGAAAACACACCCTATTTTCCTGTTTTTGGAAATAGGCCTAGATGGCAAAGTTAAGATAAAACATCTTTTGTAAATAATAATTTTAAATTTGTTTTATACTGTAAATGTATCTGAAGACCTGTATCACATTGGGCTTGCGTCAGGTCCTAACTTAAGTACTAGTTTTACCATTATCATTTTTAGATAGCACTGCACGTGCAGTACTAGGCCTAGTGTTGTGTACACATCATTGCATGTATGTCAGTTGGAATTATTTTGTGTTTAATTGGATTATATTTCATGAAGTTGGAGCTATGGCAGTCGGAAAAGTAACTTTTGGTATAGTTTTGGGGTAAATAGTCTAAAATTGCAACTGGTTAGATTAAATTTTAAAAAAGGGTTTTAAAGGTCATCCAATGCTGCAATAAGACGAATTTCACATTCTAAAGAGTTATCGCCCGTTATCGACGTTACATTCAGTTACAAAATACAGAATTTTTTTTGGGGGGAAGGGGGGACTTCCAGACCAGAATTTTCTGAAAACAAAAAAAAGGGAGAAGTTATGGTGGTGTCTGTGTCTTTTTTTAGGGTGGGGGGGGCATCCAAAGTCTTTTTTATATTATAGTCCTGCAAATTGGGGGAGGGATCTCAAATAAAACCTTCCAGTCCCGTAAACAGTAATGGAAAATTATCATGTGACTCCTAAATAGTAGGAAACTTTTTCCTTTTACAATACAAAATTTTGCGTTTTTTTGTGTTATTATGTTATGTAAATTTAATGGTAAAAAGGTTTTAAACCCCCCCGGGAGGTCATCCCCACTCTCCTAATGATTCTAACTAAATGTTCAAAATTGACTGCATTAAATGAAATAAAAGTGCATCAATGATAAAATTGTTGAAATTTCATTCATAAACCCTTTAATTCCTCCTAGAATTAGGAATGAAAATCATTCAAAGAGATGGACCACATTAAAGTATTTGTATATAGGCTATTAACATATTTTTTTAAAAATGTAAAACAAGCAGTAGGCCTAGTTTGCATACATGTCATGAATATAAACAGGGGTCTGGGATGGGGTGAAGGGAAGGATCGAGTTCCTCTCTTTACGTCTTAATGGTTGAAAACTCCTAAAATGAATGTTGACCTCAAATCCAACTTGTCCTCATTATTTTTAAGGGGGGGTGTCTCCATTTGAGTGAAAAATTCCTGAGAGGGATTTTTTAAAACAAACAAACAATTAAATGACAAAAAAACACAATATTGATTTGCGTTAAGAAATATGCGGGGGTTTTTTTCCCATCAAAATTTCTTCTAAAGAACAGAAAGGGCTTTAAATTGCCCCCCTTTTGGGGAAAGGGAGGGAACTTTATCATTTAAATTTAAAGGAATAAAAAGAAAATTAAACTGTTGCCCCGGGAGGAGTGGGGAGACCTGGAAACTGTTGCCCAAGGCCGAAGGCCAAGGGCAACAGTTTCCCAGGTCTCCCCCAGGGACTACTGAGGGACAACAGTTTGACTGTTTCACCGAGTAGTCATTGAATAAGTGTTTTATTACCTAACCTACTATAAAATTTAAATTTAAAATTGGAAAAAAAACACACAAACAATCAATAAAAAGTTTTCACAATTGTTTATTCACATACTTGTCTATTAATTAGCTGAATACATAATATAAAGACTAAATTAATATTTTTATTTTAAAGTAATACTTGATAAATTTATTGTTTGTGTGTTTTTTTTAAAAATTTAATTTCATTATAGAGCAGGTAAATAGTGATGTCGTGATCATCAAAATGTTTTAATATCACAATACGCTTTAACCAGTCAACAGTTCATTCTGTGGACCGGCAACAGTTCACTGTTTTTTTATCACGCAAAAACATAAAGTAAACCGTGAAACAGTTCAAAATGCCTAATTATTATTTGGATAGTAAGTTAGGTAATAATAAATCTTATTTGTCTGTCAGTCTGGCCATCTTTGACAAATGTGCATCTGTCACAATAAATTTAACCTTGATCATAACTTTTGAATAATATGAGATAGGGTTTTTAAAAATTTACAGGGTACATTACCACAAAACTTTCTAAATGTACTATGATTTTTTAACCCAAGTGAGACCTTGACCTCAAAATTTTACCTATTTTCCCAAAAAAATAACATTTTAAATTAATCATTTTAAAAGAGAAAAGATATGGCATTTAAATTATTCATGTATATTACATGTGAAAAGACTTTTCTAAATATATCATGACTTTTGACTTTCAACCCCTTATGTAGAATTTTAAACCTACTTTTCAAAAATATTATATTATATATTTATATATATATAACTTTTGATTGAAAAGAGATGGGTCTTTCATATTTGACATGTACTTTACCTGCAACAAAATATTTCGAGCATCCCATGTTTTCCCCCCCTTTTCCAATTTTCAAAAAGGTGACATATGAAAAGGGATGCATATTTGATACACAATGTGCCATAATTTAAATTATGGCATCCCATTCACTTAAACACAGAAAGCAAAGGACCACAATTCTTTGAATTTGCATGTATAATCTTGATATGGAAACATCCTCATATAATGTATATTCAAGTTTTTTATGCTACGCCATGATTAGGAATACATGTATTAGTTTTTGTCATGTCCGCCTCCTTTCCATCTGTCTTTCCATCGAGCCAAAGAAATTACTTTCTAAATTTTTTATCAAAGTTCAAAATGCTGATGCATATACTGATGTAAACTATCCAACTGTGGAAATTTTTTTTAGGCGCCCGGCAATATTTTGGGATATATTGTTTTTGTCCTGTCTGTTTGTCTGTTTATCTGTTTGTCTGTTGTCAACTTTAACTTTGGCCAAAAATTTTTTAACAATAAGAGATAGAGACTTTATATTTGGTATGCATACTCCACTTTTAAAGTCCTTTCAAATGACATCAAGGTCAATGACCTTGTGACCTTGACTGTGACCTATATGCTAAAAAAAAGCTTTTTCCACTGTTTGTCATAACTTTTTAACCATAGGAGATAGGGACTTGATATTTGGTATGCATACTCCTCTAATAAAGCCCTTTCATTTACAACAAGGTCAATGATTTTGTGACCTTAACTGTGACTTATATGCTAAAAAAAGCTTTTTACACTTTTTGCCATAACTTTTAAAACCATAGGAGATAGGAACCTTTTTTTTGGGGATGATACCTCCATGATTAAGTTCTTTCAGATGACATCATGGTAAATTAACCTTGTGCCCTTTTCCCGTGACCTAAAATGCTAAAAAAAACCCTTTTTACACTTTTTGCCATAACTTTTTTACCATAGGAGATAGGAATTCAATTTAGGATGTACTCCACTGATTAAATTCTTTCAAATGACACCATGGTAAATGACCTTGACTGTGACCTATATGCTAAAAAAAAGTTTTTAATTTTTGGCCATAACTTTTAAACCATAGTAGATAGGGACTTCATATTTGGGATGCATACTCCACTGTTTAAAATTCTTTCAAATGACACCACGGCCAGTGACCTTGTGTTCTTGACTGTGACCAATATGCTAAAAAAAATTTTTTTTTGTTTGTTTTCCCCCGGGGATAGTGTTTCACAAACACATCTTGTTTACCTTTACTTTCCTTTGACCTTTACTTAACTTTTCTTAAAATTAGTGTTTAGCTTTATTTTAGAAGGGAAAACCCTAATGATTCAAGTTGTGTAATGAAACTTCACATGATGATACATACTGGGTGAAGCAATTAAAGCTTTACAATGCTTCACTCTTTTTTACCTTGACATTTCCTTACCCCCCCCTTACTGTCTTAGACTAGATCAGTTTTGAATAAACAGTTCAAGATATATTAATCAAACTTCATATGCTAAACATACTGATGAGAGCTATTATTGCATTAATTATTTTGACCTTGAATTTTCTTTTGACCTTTACCTCACTTTTTAAAAAAATGTGTTTATCAAAATTTCAAATAAACCATTAATTATATTTTTATCAAAAAAATTTGATAATAGTAAATTCACACTGATGTAAGGTTTTCAGCTAAAAAACATTTTTACCACAACCTTTCCTTTGACTTCTCTTTTCTTAAAACAAAGTGTTAAACTCACTTTTTTTTTAAATCATTAAAGATATTTTTTTTCAAAAATACTAAGTAAAAAATGTATTAGTGAGAGCTATTAGCTGCATCAAAAACTTCATCTTGCACATTCCTGTGACCTTGACCTCCCTTTTTAAAAAGATTTTGCTTAAATTTTTAAAAAATAATTTAAAATTTTTATGTTTAACATGCACTTATACATAATTTGATGAGAATTTATTATCTATATCCAATTTATTTTAATTTTTTTTTCAATTCGAAAAAAAAAATGTTTAAAAAAATTTTTTAAACCCCATACACAAAAACAAATTTTAGTTTTTAGTTTTTTTCTCACCTCAGCTGAAGGTCCAAAAGCTTTTCTATTTATTTTTGGTGTCCCTCTGTCTGTCTAGCTGTCTGTAAACTTTTCACATTTTCACTTCTTCTCAAAACCACTGGGCCATTTCAACCAAACTTGCCACAAAAACCTTTTGGGGGAAGGGGATTCAAAAATTTTTTTAAAAGAAGGGCCAGCCCTCATTCAAGGGGGGAAAATTTGGGGAATTTAATGAAAATTTGGTGGAGTTTTAAAAATTTTTTCTAAGAACCACTATGCCAGGAAAAATAAAATTATGGGTTAACATCCTCAGGTAGTGAATATTCAAATGTGTTCAAATCATGACCCCCGGGGGGAGGGCGGGGCCAAAATGGCCGACCAAAGTTTTACATAGAAATATATTGGAAAATTCTTTAAAAATCTTCTTCTCAAGAACCACTGTGCCAGGAAAGATGAAAATTATGGAGAACCATCCTCAGGAAGAGTAGATTCAAGTTTGTTCAAATCATGACCCCCGGGGGGAGGGCAGGGCCAAAATGGCCCGATTAAAGTTTTACATAGAAATATATAGGAAAATTTTTTTAAAAAACTTCTTCTCAAGAATGATAAAGCCATAATTCATCAAATTTATATGGAAGCATCCTCAGGTAGTGAAGATTCAAGTTTGTTCAAATCATGACACTGGGGGGAGGGCGGGGCCAAAAAGGGGCCCACCAAAGTTTTACATAGAAATTTATGGGAAAATTCTTTAAAAAAACTTCTTCTCAAGAATGACAAATCCATAATTCATCATATTTATATGGAAAACATCTTCAGGTAGTGTAGATTCAAAAATTTTAAAATCATGACCCCAGGGGGTAGGGCGGGGCCAAAATGGCCGACCAAAGTTTTACATAGAAATATATGGAAAATTCTGTGAAAAAAGCAAATCCATGATTTATCAAAGGGATTACTTTTGGATTTTAACTTTTCAATTATAAACCAATTTCTACTTTTTTCTAGCTACAGTGCTCAGGTGAGCGATGTGGCCCATGGGCCTCTTGTTTTTAAAGTACCATTAGTAATACACATCTGGCGGGACATTCATGTCCTATAGACATATTTCTAGTTTTTCAAATCTTCATCTCAGGCTAGGGTCAGGCCACAATTAGGGATCAAAGTTTTATTTAGGAATAAAAAAAAACACTTCTTTAAAGTTTTTCTTTTCAGGAACACCAAGAGCTTGGGTTATATGGAAATATTCTCAAGAAAGGGGAGATTCAAGTTTGTACAAATCATGACCACCAGGGTTAGGGAGGTGCCATATTATTCCAGCCCCTTTTTGCCATCCATATGAAAATTCAAATTTTGAAACCATTTTACACATACACAAAACAAACCAATCATTTTCTAAATGATCATGGTTTAAAGCTATTGCAGCATAAGATATTAGGGACGTTCTTGAAAGCAGGGTGATTAAACATGTCAAATATATGTAAAAAAAAAAATATAAAAATTTTTACCTCGATTTGATCCCCCCTCACCCCCACCCCCCGGGAAAAAAAAAATTCCGAAACCTTACTGCACATCTACATTTACACCACCAACCATCTCTTAAAAAATTATAAAGGGTTATAAAAATTTAAAGGAGTTAGGGGAAGGGGGTATTTGTATAAAAAAAAAAATTTTTAAACCCCCCTTTATTTTCCCCCCGGGGAAAATCAAAATTCCGGGCCACCACATTTTACATGACACCACCAACCATCTCTCAAAAGATGATTAGGCTGCTGAGTAAAATATAGAAGGGGTTCAGAGAAGAAGGGGCTTTTTGTATAAAAAAAGTCATTTTTTTATCCCCATTTTAAACCCCCCGGGGGAAAATCAAAATTCCGAAATTACTGCACATCTACATGACACCACCAACCATCTCTCAAAAAAAAAAGATGATTAGGCTGCTGAGTAAAATGTAAAGGAGTTCAGGGAAGAAGGGGCTTTTTGTATAAAAAACATCATTTTTTACCCCCCTTGATTCCCGGGGGAAAAACAAAAATTTTTTTTTCTGAATTTAAAATTAAAACCAAAAACCATCTCTTAAAATATGATAAGGCTGCCCATAAAATGTAGAAGGAGTTCAGGGAAGAAGGGGGTTTTTGTATAAAAAAAAGTATTTTTACCCCCATTTGATCCCCCGGGGGAAAAACAAAATTCCCAAACCTTACTGCACATCTACATGACACCACCAACCATCTCTCAAAAGATGATTAGGCTGCTGAGTAAAATGTGAAGGAGTTCAGGGAAGAAGGGGCTTTTTGTATAAAAAACGTATTTTTTTCCCCCCTTTTATCCCCCGGGGGAAAAACAAAATTCCGGAAAACCACTGCACATCTACATGACACCACCAACCATCTCTCAAAAGATGATTAGGCTGCTAGTAAAATGTAAAAGGAGTTCAGGGGAAAAAGGGGCTTTTTGTATAAAAAAAATTATTTTTTACCCCCATTTGCCCCCGGGGAAAAACAAAATTCCGAAACCTTACTGCACATCTACATGAAAACCACCAACCATCTCTCAAAAGATGATTAGGCTGCTGAGTAAAATGTAGAAGGAGTTCAGGGAAGAAGGGGGTTTTTTTTTTAAAAAACTGATTTTTTTAACCCCTTTATCCCCGGGGAAAATCAAAATTCCGAAACCTTACTGCACATCTACATGACACCACCAACCATCTCTCAAAAGATGATTAGGCTGCTGAGTAAAATGTGTGTAGAAGGAGTTCAGGGAAGAAGGGGCTTTTTTTGTATAAATACTATTTTTTATCTCATCTATTTTTTCGGCAAAAATGCAGAATTGAAACCTTACTGCACATCTACATGACACCCCCAACCATCTCCCAACAATTATTAAGCTACTGTGAAAAATGTAGGAGGAGTTCAGGGAAGAAAAGTGTGACAGACGGACGGACGGACGGACGGACGGACGGCACATGAGTAAATACACACCGAATTTTTCT